CGGCCCCGGCGCGCCGGGGCCCTGAGAGTGGAGAGGCGCGGGGCGGGAGGAGACCTCGGGTGGGTCGGGTTACCGCTCCTCTCCTGACTGGCTTCCTCTCGCCTCGCGCCGCCTGCCGAGTCGCGCGCTTGAGCTGAGGGAGCTCGGGCGTCGCCCGGGATTAGAATAACAAGAGAGGGAAGGGATTGGAGAAGTGGATCGGGAACAAACTAGTTGGAAGTGAGGACGGGTGGGACGCGAACTCGCGTCCACGTGCGGAACGGCCAGTGCCCAGAGAAAGCGAGCAGCGCGAGGTGGATAGCGCGCGCTACGAGTGCAGGGCTCGAGCTGGAACTGCCGGAAGAGCCGAAACTCCCCCGGAGGTGACCGAAAGCGGGCGCCCCGAGGGGAACCGCACAAGGGATTTCTTTCTAGGTCCTGGCCGGGACACGGTCTTTCAGACTGCTCTCCCTTTCGCCGTTCACGTCTCCGCCCCGAGAACTTAAAACCACTTTTCCCTTCTCCTTCCCGACCCAAGTTTTACTCGAAAAGGCCATTTCAGAGCTACCGGCCGCGGGAAACGCGGTGACATCCGGACTTGGCGGCCGTTCAACATCCTTGGAGGCCGTAGAGGCCGGTGGGGTTGGAGGGAGGGAGGCGCCGCTGGGGCCTGGCTCTGGATAACCCCGCGAGCGAATTGAGAGTTCTCTTCCCCCGGCCACGAATTTAGAGTTCTCTTCCTCCCTACACACTGCCCCAGTCCGTCGCTGAGTCGTTTTCTGATCTGCTCAGCTCTGGCTGTGGTCAGTCACACCGTCGAATCTTCCTATTAAGTACTCCTCTGTGGTCAGATTCCCAACCTCCCCGGGATCAGAACCATCTCTAATATTTCTGCACCTTTCTGCCAGTGTCCTGCATGTGTGAAGCACTCACCCCACTGTCAACTGGTTAGTCGTCTGTTAGGAGTGGCCACCAGCTGGGAATTTAGACAATCAGCATTAAAAGATTAATCTATCCTCATGTTCTTTTGAGGCCAAAGCCTAAGGGACTCTGGACAAATAGTATATGCGGGTGTGTATAGCCACAGGCACAATGTAGTTTTGGTTTTCGCACGTTTGTTATTGCAGTGGTAATACACGTAACGGAGTCATATGATAAACGTCTATGAAGTCATCTTGTCCTTTGGTTTTTAATTTTGCATGGGGTGGGGTTAAGGAGCCAAAAATCCGGAGCCCACTGACTCTTGGTTAATAATGCCTAATCTAATCCAACCATTTACAGATCTAAAGAAACAAGAGTAAGTCATTCAGCTAGCAGAGCACTACACCACCTTGCTTACTATTGAGTCTTCTTTCAAAGATTCAAATGGAAGCAGGCCATCCAAATATCTGCTGTCTTTTCATTCACTACATTGACATAAGCTCTCAATGAGAGGTAGGCATTGTTCTAGGCATTGAGTTACTTACGAAGAAGAATAAAGATCATCCCCAAGAAGAATACCCAATTGTAAAGGAGGATATAAGCTATTAAATAATTAACTATAATAACATGATAAGTGCTGAAACAGGCAGAAAGTGGAATGAGTGACTAACTCTTCCACAATTCTCCCTCCTTCCCATACAGAATGGGAACAGGATGGTATGACCTTGATTAATAGGAAATGTCATACTCAAGAATGGGACCTGAACCAATAGGATCCAAGATCTTGTTCCATATTGACTGATTTCACCTACCAAAAGTCACTCCAGAAACACCTTTATTATAGGGCCTGTTGCTGCTGCAAAACCAATGTTTCTTTGGGAGGAAAATAAAGTTCCCACTCTTGGAAACCTTATAGTCTATTTAGGTAAGTCAGGAGAGCCCTGGACAAATGGAAGAGAGTTTGTATATGTGGATATCCCACTCAGAAAGAAGAGAGGTGGATTAAGGAGTATGTCAATGACCCAATCTAGGAGAGCTGTAAAGCTTCATTGGAAATCTAATGAGATGAAGAATATCATATTTAACAGATCTCCTCTAAGGGAAAGTTCTGAGTGTGCTTAAGAGGAACATTTTGCTCAGTCTCTGGGGTGGCAGTACAGACAGGCTCCTCACAAAAATTTTACTCAAAAAATAGCCCTGCAAGGAGGGTAGATCACATAGAGCATGTCTTTTGCTGAGTGGGATTTGTAAGTACCCCTACTGCATGGCCCATCTTTGCCCTTTCTCCTCACAGCTCTCAACCTCTCTACAAGGATACCGAATAAATTTTTCACTTTTGGACCTAGGTTACAAAGATTAATTATAGTTCATTATACTACCTATACAGTTTTCATTTGGCATGCTATAATTCACAATAAAACAAAGTGATCATTGCCTGCTTTGAAATAATTGCAAATAGTTTCATGTTTGTCTATAAATTATATTAGAGGAAAAGAAATCCTGTAATAAATTCAACATATACTACTGTGACCTACTCTGAAGAAAACAAACAAACAAAAAAAACCCCACCAAATCTCTGAAATGATTAAAGTAATTGCTAAGGATTACAAAAGAAGATCATTTCGAAATAACATCCATATTTCTCAGTTCAGCCTTAAGAGAATTAATTTGTCCCAAGTTACTTAAAGATCCATTGGCAAAACTAGAACTAAAAGATCCATTGGCAAAACTAGAACTAAAAATAAATCATGGCATAATCTTCACCTTGGCAGATACATTCTGCAGATACTAACCTGACCTAATTTGATGTTTCAAATAGATCCTAGAGATGAGAACTTTTCTCAAATTTTTGTTTTGAGTTGATATTTTGTATTTGAAGTGATTGATTGCCAGATTACATGTTTTTATTAGAAAGAAAAAGAGGCCAGAGTTAAACTACCGTCTGAGGGACAAACATTTTACTCATTAATTTGGAGACTTGATAATCAATGACTATAAGTGAGGAACATGATTTTTTAAAAAAAGTCTCTGTTGACTAAAGCTGAAGCTATAAACCACAAAAGACTAGCAGAGAACATCTCATAGGATAGATATACTTTTCCTTTGCTTGGACTACCTCTAATACCTAAGAATATTCGTGTTAGCAGTCCAAACTGTATGTCTCAAAAAAATTAGTTTCATGGGATGCTATATATATAGATGTTATCTGAAAAAACTATTCCTGGTTCAAATAAGTTTGGGAAACACTGGATAAAATCAAGTTAAACTGGTTGCTTTACTTCTCCTAGTATTTAATATGGTAATCTGCTTTGCTAATATTAAAGAGAATGCACTATATAGTATGCAGCTTCCCCTCCTCCCCGAGGAAAATTTTTTCTCCCAAGAGACTTCTGTACCAGATTAATACCTCTTTGAAGATCCATTCTATAAAGTTCTATTAAAGAGTTTTGATTAAGTTGACATTTTACAGATAACAAAACTAAGGTCCAAAGACATAGGTAAAATACCCAAATTCAGTTATGTCAGATGTTTAGGTCTGGAAAAGGCCTTAAATTATCAAAGGTTGTGATGTAAATTGTGACATCACAAAATTAGTGGCAATGTCAAAACCAAAACTCGGATTTTAAACAGGTTCATTAAAAACTTGAATTTGATCTTTAGTTAACTTGTTTCTATGTGTAAAATATATAATTATTACTGCTCTATTCTAAGTTCATTCATGAAATTTCAGCATGCTCTTTCACTTATATGGTCTGTTACTATTTTTCAAAAACTGATAACGCCTACCCTCTGTAAATGTTTTATGGCTTATAAAGCACTCTCAACAAATTGTCTCATTTGATTGTCTCAATATCCCTGTGATGCAGGTATCATTATCCTCATATAGCAAATGTGGAAACTGGGGTTCTAAATTATTAAGTAGCAAGTTAACACATTTAGTAAATGTCCTATTGCTTGCATTGGGAGAAGACAATCCCTACCTTCAAGGGGCTTTGGCATAGTTAAGTGGATAAGACTTACAAACATGAGACAGAATGATTATATGGCAACATGTAAGAAAATGCTAGATAGAATGGTACAAACTAGAGAAGAATGCTGAAGGAATTCAAGGGAGAAAGGTTATTGGATATGGAATTAATTGAGAAGGCATCATTTAGGAATAAACCTTAAGCTAGATCATAAAAGAAGTACAAAGATTTCAATTAGCAGAAAGGAAAAAGAATTATAGGGAAGAAGAGTGACATCAGCAAAAGCATTAACATTAGAACAAGAAACGCATTGAAGAGAATTAGAGTTCGAAAGGAGATAGGTCTGAAAGGATCAGTCTCTTAGCTGTGCAAGAAAAGTCAACTGCTATGAGGAAATGAGTTCTCAGTCATTGAATATAAAACGATATGGCACCACTTGCCCGAACTGAGCAGTTAATTGCTTTCCAACCCAAATTATACAAAAAGCAGTAAATCTACACTCTCTGCTGTGACTCCAGAAGTTAAAAGGAGAAAGAAGCAAGAGAAGCCAAGTCCAAACTAGCGATTAGGGATATGGAAGAAGAGGCTGGAGAGTAACATGAGCCTCACTGGACCTGTGACATGGAAACATGAATAAAATATATTTATAATCCCCCTATATTCCTCTCATTCCTTTCTTCATACTAATTCATCTGAAAGGTGCCAGACCTATCAATGCTAGGACAAAATGCCCTTTAGTACTTGCAAAGACAAGTTCACATGCTAACTCAGTCACTGCCCAGTGGAGGATGTTCCTCTGTTCCCCACAACCTTTCTCACCCCAGAAATGGGGCTAAAGTCTGGCCCAGAATAG